CATAATTTCAGCTGAAGTAAGCAAAAAAGATTTTAAAGAAAACAAATCACAAATGAATGAGAAAACATTACAGCTGGTCACACAGAGTTTAAAAGATTCTAAGAGAGGAGGACTCTGACCGATATTCAGCCTGAAAATGGAAGCCCTGACATGCTCTTCCACGCTCTACTTGTTCAATGCCCAACTCCAAAGCTACTTCCCCGGGTCTAGGGATTGCTTACAGACGCAGTCACTTTCATGCAACAAAATACTTTAGTTGCCTATTGCTGATAAAATGATGATATTTATCAGTGATTACTAAATTTATTATTTCACAATTCAAGATTCCAGGAGTCCAGAATTCATTTCACTGCACTAAAATCAATATGAAACCAGTTTTGTACTCCCTCTCATAACTCCGGAGGGTAATTGTTTCCTTGCCTTTTCTAGGACCTGGAGACCCGCTGTGTTCTTTGGTTTTTGGCCCAATTCCATCTTCAAGGACAGCAGTAACTGGGCTAGCCTTTCTCACATTATAGCACCATGACACTGACTGCTGACTATATAAGGCTTATGTAGATAACCCCAAATAGCATCATTAAAGTAAGTTCACAACCAACCTTAATTTCCCCATGTCATAACAAAACACTCCGGTTCCAACAGTTAGAATATGCATGCCCCTAGGATACCCTTACTTCACCTATACAAAACATATTTGTACACTATTAACTTTTCAATTACGCTATGTTGGTATTCTCTACCATGGAACCCAGTCCCTGGATGGATGGATGGATGGATGGATGGACGGACGGACAGACAGAGAGAAAGACAGATATCCTTTAACTATCACTATAAATAATTCTTCAAAGAGTCTCCCTAAAGCTGAGCCTCCCTAAAATAGAATACAGACTCCCATTACGTTCTGAATTTTTCATATATTTCATCTTAATAATGACTAAATTATTAACTTAATAATTGTTTGGTAGCCAATTTTAATGCACAATGAAGCTTTAATTTTTTGATTTGCTACATGCCTAACACTAACAGTATAGTAATTGTATAATAATGATTTTAGTGGATGAACTTAACTTATAACAACATTCACTAATGGAGTACCCTCACCCCCGAAGCATAACTTGTGACATTCTTCCTGGGTCTACCCGATTTCTCAACTCATCTCTGATCACTGCCCTATTTTGCTCCATCAGAGAGCATCCTCAGCCATTACCCTGGAGCTTACAGATGCCCACTGTGATGGTTGAGCTTCACTGTCAACTTGGCTGGATTTAGGATCGCCATAGATAGAGACATAGCTCGCTTGCATCCCTAAAGGATGTTTCTCATGCGGTTTAACTAAGAAGGACACACCCTGAATGCGGGTGGCCCAGGGACTGTGGTCTCTGACTGGATACAAAGGAAAACAGGAAAAGTGAACTAGCATGAGCATTCATCTCCTCCTCTCTGCTTCCTGTGAACAACACATCTGACCCTCAGTCCCTCTGCTCCTTCTACCACAGACAGCCATTCTCATTGCCACGCCTTCCCCCTCAGACTGTGAACCAAGTAGCTAACATGCTCCATTATCATCACACTGAAGACAAGCCCACATCATCCTTGCCTCTGTCAATGTGGTCGCCAACCAGCGGCACTGGCCTATCACCAAATACCTGTGAACACCTTTTCCTTCTATGTAAAGGTTCTTTAAGAGGAATTACCAAGGTAGCTTTAAATTATCATCTAAGGGAAATATGTTTTGATTTTTGTCTACGCTTCAGCGTTAATGAGACTATACAATCTACAAACACTTCAGAAGGAATTTGCGTACGACAATGGATAAGATTATCTATTTTAGGAACCTGGATGAATTGTTATGATCAAAGAGCTAAAACTGAAGCTAACTTCAAGTGTGTGCTTTCTTCTCTGTGAACTCTCATGAACACAGAGAAAGGAAAACTAGTATGATCATTATCTGGCAAAATACTAGCTAGACTCCAGAACCAGGAGAGGGAACTCCTTTATCAGAATACAATCCTATATTTTTAAAAGCATAATAAGTGTGTTTTCTGGCTGTGTGTCAGATTACAGCCAGAAATGTCTAGAACTCCAAACCACTGCCTAGACACATTATGTAATTATTATAACAGGTATAACCCAAAGTCCAAGTACATTAAGGAAATGGTTAAATTTAAAATCTCATTAAATTTTCAAACAAACTATAAGTCAAATTTCAGCCATGATAGGATGGTGTTGTGATATTATGGTTGATATTACCATAAAAGTTATGATTTGAAAGCATATGTTTTACTATGAGCTTAAAACAAAATGCTAAGTAGTAGATTCATATTTCACAGTAATTTACAAAAACCATTCATGATTTCAAAAATACCAAAGTGTGTGTGTTTGTGTGTGTGTGTATACACACACATATATAAATGTATCTCAAAAATCAGACAGAGAAAATGAAGTAGCAAAAATGAAAATATTAATTAAGTAAAAGTCACAGGGCAAACATATTTTGAGGTTTCTTATTATAAAATGAAGAGACGGGAAAGTATCTGTTGGAGAAGCAATCGATGGTTCTGAGCTCACTTGTTATTGAGAACATATCCTTTAGCACAGAAAACTTGCACATGAAGTTTGTATGAAATCTGGGAGCATCTCTCAGGCTTTTTAATTTGTTTCTATTCCTGCTATGACATTTTACAAGCTATATAAAATACCGGCAGCATTCTCAACTCACTATAAATGGAACCTCAAAATGCATCACAGTCTGAGAGCTTTTTGTCCCTCTAGACTCCATGGAATCCAGGGAAACACCATGATGCAGAGCTGGTTTTTGAAAACAACCTGCTGCTCCTCTAGCCTCTGAGGAAAGACATTTTAAAGGCCATGCAGAACTACCAATTGGTCACAGGTCCACTTGTTGCTGGTTTCAAAATTCGAATCTTATAGTAAGCAAAACTAATAACGCTCATAAGTAGTGCATCAGAAACATAACATACACCTTACAAGAATGCAGTAAGCAGTAAATAGTCATTAGTCCACAAAGTGATGTTCATAATGTGGCAGGAAATGTTATTTCACATCTCTGAATGAAAACTATATTTGTGAAGCATTTGTTTTTCTAATATTGGGCTTGGTGTTAGCTAGGAAACAAAGGAAGCTCACCAGTGAATACTGACATCCACCAACTCAGGACAGTTCAAAGAAAACACTGGGCATTTGCCATGTGTCTTCTTAACATGGTGCATACCTTGAACAAGCTGACTACTTATGTAGAAATAAATATTGTCTTAAATTAACCAGAAAAAGAAACTGTTACCCTGAAACCATTGCCTAGAAACTGTCCAATTGTCTAATGGGTAATGGGTCAATGTCCACAGGAAGTGTGCATTCCTGGAGGTTCCTACTTGCAACATCTGAACACTCTGTATCGGAAGCTACTGCCCCTAAGAAGATTTAATGGAGCCTTTGAGATTATCAGGACAATTCAAGGGCTTTGATTATTAGAAACTTGGTTTATGAAGCTTCCTGGTTACTTGACCCATCAAGTCCTGAAATAGCTTGCTTCCCATTTTGCAGAGACCAAATTAAAGAGAGAAATAATACATGACATAAGCCAAAAGCCTACATTTAATTACATTTCTATTCAACTCTGAATTTTTGTTGACAATTGAGCTCTATTTCCTTGATCACATCTGGCCATTGTTTTCAGATTCCCAGCCCCACCCTCCACAAAGCATCTGAAAGTAAAGAAAATATCATAAACACTTGTCACAATAAAAGCACTAATTAATAACTTTAACTGAGATACTCTTTTTATAAAAAAAGAGTTTACATCTTAATTCCTTATTAAAAAAAATTTGTCTTAAATAAATGCAACACATGTCCCTTTCTCCCTTTCCCTACAGCACTTAGGAGCTGCTGTCCATGGTGACATGCGCTGGCTGCACGCGGCAACAGCGCCACCAAGGAACCCTCCAAGTTGCATCCTATGTCTGTTTCTTGAAGGCAGCTGTGCTGGGCTGGTTGCAATTTGCATAGCCAACGCTTCGGTAATTATAAGTTGCACCACTTCTTTTGAAGCCATTTCTCCCAATCGAAAAGAAATCCCCCGTGTGTCATTGGGGAGGACGTCTTGATCCTCCGGATACAGGTAGCCAACCCCGGGTCTCTCGTGCCTCTCTGTGCTTCACCATGAGTAAGTCTGATCTCCAGGGACAGTTTAGCCGCCTTTTAGACCCACAAGCTAAACACCTTCCCACAAACCGAGCAGTCTCCAAAAGCTTTAATCAATCAATTTGCAGGCTGCTTTTAGCGAAATTTTAGTTTTGACTGCACAGTACATCTAAATATTCTTTGAAATATGGACATTTATGAATGGCCAATGTCCACTGAATTCTAAAAGAAAAGGAAAGTTTTTAAAGCCTATGCACACAATTATGGCAATGGGGGCATGTGCTTCTGGGTGAACACTCCTTTGAAATGCTTTTAAAATAACTGTAATAGTGTTATTCCTTTCCCCTTGCCACTGGTGGAGAGGCAGAATAGGGAGCTTTGCCTGGTAATCTTGCTTCAAGTACAGTGACGTGCAGGAAAAAAAAAAAACGTAAAGAAATTCCTCTCGGTGGACATCACAGCGACGAAACTTTGGGATGTCGGTATCTTAACCAAGATTGAGCTGTCCTGTTTCCTTCCCAAATCCATTCCGCCCAAACGAGTCGTTTGTGTTACAATTTATTGTTCCCCAGACGCCCAAATCACCCATCTGCCTCTGGAGTTTCTAGTCGGTAATTAAGGCATTATCCATTAGAACCGCCAAGTGCACCAAGTGAGGAGCAGGGAGAGAGAAATGAGGGGAAAACACCACACTTTAAAAGATCAAGGATCTGGACCCGAGACGCAGAGGGACCCCACGCCCCAGATGGGACCCTCCGCCTAGCCAGGGAGCAGCGCCAAGTTAGCAAGAGCCTCGGGGCCAGCTCCTCCCACCGCACCGGGGGCTTCGCACTGGGCCATACCTTGGAAGAGGAAAGCTTTCGTCCCATTATGCAGTCCCGGTACTTGGCGCACTCCGGCCGTGGACTCCCCAAGTTCTAACTCTGTTAAGACGTCAATCTGTAGGGACGGGTCCACACCAAGCCCCCAAACTGATGGGAGTGGGGAGGGGTAGGAAAGAAGAAAGAAAGAAAGGGGGCCATTAAAACGCAAGCCTCCACAGCTGCATAGAAAGCATCTTGGAGACAATATTGGGAAGTGCTGACAAGAGGAGATTCCTTCCTCCACCATGAGAGCCTTACCTGGACGCGCTGCCAAGCTTAAAATAGCAGAGCGCCCGGTCCCATTTCCGTGACCTACTTTAAGCCCTCTCTGTGCAAAGTTCCCCCTTAGTCAAAGACCCTAAGGGCGTGACCTGCCTCCCTATCCCCAGGACAAGCACACAGGAGATCCAAATGCAAACCCGCGCCCTCCAGAGCTCCCCAGTCCAGAAGGACTTGGGGCGGCGACCCTAAGGCTAGGAGCATCCCGGCCCAGCTGGACGGCCACTCACCCGCTCCGAGCCCGAGGATCACGCAGAACGTTCTCAGTAACACCCGGGACTCCATGGCTTGCATCGGCTCAGTCCATCGTCTCCGTCTTTAAAAATAAAGATAAAAACCAAGAGGTGCTGGGAGTGAAGCGGGAAAGCCGCGCCGGCCGCTCCTGCGACTGCCTCCGTGTCACCACCCGGGCTCAGACGCCTAAGACAGAGCGGGGCGGCCCCCCCGGGTGCGCGCCGAACTTGGAGCCGCCTCTGTGCGCATCGCTCCCGCACGCGGCGGGCCGAAGCCAGGTCGGGCTCGTGGAGACCTGCACCGAGCAGCGCTCCGCGGAGCCACGCCGCCCGGGCGCGCACGCAGAGGAAGAGAGGCGGCTCCGGGAAAGCCGGGCCGGGCCGCCCCGCACCCGCCCGCGCTCCCGCGCCCGAACCTGTTGGAAAGGCGGAGACAATGGCGAGAGCCTGGTGCCGCCGAGACCGCTCCGGGAGGGCGGGGCGCGAACAGGGGTGCGGGCGGGGCGGCCTCTCTCCCCGCAAACAGAGCCGGGTCCAGCCAGGCTGGCTCTCAGTCGCCCTCCGCCACCCTTGCCCGCCCGCCCGCCTGCAATCGCAGCCTTTGGTAAGGATCTTAAGATCTCAATGGCAGGTGCCAAGTTGACGGGCGGCGTTTGCTCTCACCCCTCGAAATCGGGCGCGTGTCTCCAAAGCCCGGCAGAGAGAAAGGACCACCCAGCCGCAGGAGGCGAGGTTGCAAAGAAAGGCAAGGCACCCGGCCGCCTCGGGCAAAGGAGGGAAGTCCGTACTCAGACACGCGCTGCACAGCAGCCCTGGAAGGGAACCCCCTCTCGGGTAGAGAAAGGAACCCCGCCAAATCACGCAAGACTCCTAGGGGAAGCTGGACAGAGGAAAGAGACAGGCAGAGATGGGTGGTGAGCCAGGGAAGCTTGACCAGCCCTGTCTGAGAGGCTCTCTGCCCAGGGCGGGGCGCTGGAGAGCCTCCAGGCACAGACTGCACATAGAACTTAGCCAGGACTCAGGGGCTGCTGGACAGCTCCAGGACCTCTGGAGCCCCTGCCAAACTCAGACCCTGGGACAAGGGCCAGAGCTGGGGATTCTACGCACTGAGAAAAGCATGGATACTTGTAAGAAAGAATAGATGTTACAGATAAGACGATAAATGGAGGAAGGATGGATGGATGGATGGATGGATGGATGGATGACGGCGGGTGAATGGATAGATGATAGATGGATGACTTATTGGTGGACAGGTAAGCATATTACTAGAAGATAACCATACATACTTAGGACTAAAAGAGTGGGAAGTGCAGTGATTGGGAAGAAGTGGAACACAGGGTTTCAGACTCTAATAGGAATCCTAAGACAATGCATACTTTACCATCCACAAAAAATAATGAACTATGGCCAAAGCCAGAAAGGGTGGGATAACCCTGCTCTGTCTGACAAGTAGAGAGACCTTAGCAAGGTTAGAAAGACAGAAGAAAAATCAGAAATGGTAAATATTTGGGTAATCACAAGAAGCTTCTCTTGAGTCCTGTAAAAAATGTTTGGTAGTTATTGGTTTTGTATTGCTACTATAACAAATTATCACAATTTATTTCCTAAAACAACAGAATTTCTGATGTTATAATTCCCTTCATTGTAACTCCAGCTGATATTGGAGACTCTGCATGCTAGGTCAGAGCACTGACGAGACTATATCTACTCTGCAAACATGATAGGCTAGCTCCATGTGCTGCCTTGTAAAACACAGAAAGTGTGTGCAGTGTTTGGCTCACTCTCCCCTTCTATCCTCAGAGCTACCCAGAGTAAGAGCTCTATTACACACTTCTCTAAAGACAATTTAGAAATCTCCTTTGATGTTAGGGGATTTGTACAATAATATGAGAAGCATTGTGTGACCCAGGATAATCACTCCATCTTACCCTTAGAGACAAGTGCCAAGTCTCCTGCTCACATAAAGTGGCACATTCAGATTCTAGGGGTTAGGATATAGATGCCTTTGAGTGATCATTCTTCTGATGGTTAAAATACTTTAAATTATCTAAATATGTATGGATTTCATCTATACGATAATCATAATATAGAGATGATAAAGAGACTCATATGATAGATGGTAATGTAGGATATCTGGTGTATATGGTAGAATGTGGTTATATAATAATAATCACAATATAGAGATGATAAAGAGACTTATATGATAGATGGTAATGTAGGATATCTGGTGTAAATGGTAGAACATGGTGATATCCTCTGTGCCACCATTGAAATGATACATGAAGATGTAAATCTAAAAACACAAAAGAGAAAATGGAGTACAAAATATTAAAGTAACTTGAAAGAAAGTTTAAAAAAGTTCATGGAACAGAAAATTCAAGAAAATAAAATAAATAATAAAACAGTAGACTATAATCCAACCATTAATAGTTGTAATAAAAGTTAAGTGGTCTAAAACATAACAAAAGACTACATTTTTTTCCAGAACAGATTGGAAAATATAAACTAACTAATATGTGATTTAAAAAGCGATTACTTCAAATATAGTAAGTTCAGTTAAAAGTTGAGGGTTTTTAAGGTATCTTATACACATCAAAAAAGACTTGAAGTGACTATAAAATTATTGGAAAAGTTTACAGCAAAACAAGTTACTAAGACAAAAAAGCCCTGCCACATACATTGCAAATGGCCAATGTAAGAAAGTCTGCAATCATAAGCCGTCAACTTTCAAGGAACAGTGGGCAACCCCAGTGCAAATGTATATACCTGGCAGCGAAGCATCGAAATGCATGATACATTTTTTCCCCAAAGAAAGAGTGACAGAGCTAATGTTAAGAAACAGGCAGATCCACAGTTGTACTGAGAAACTTTGCGTTCTCTCAGGATCAGTTGATGTTAGTTCCAGCTATGCAATTGCACTAAACATCCAAAGAAGGAATAACATCAGGTAGCCATCATCCTTCCAGGAAAAAAAAGAAACATCCCCCACTCTAATTTTATGAAACGACCACTATTTTATACCAAAACCGGGCAAAAAAAGTAACAGAAAATCAAAAACAAGAACACAAAAATAAAATATACCTTTTGAACATGCACACAAAATCTTCAACAAAACATTAGTAGGTCAACTGGCAATGTGTAAAAGCAATGCTGCAAACATGACGATTCCCTTCTACCAACAGAAGGCTGACTAAAGTCTCTGCTCTTGCCAGGTGGTGGTGGTGCACGCCTTTAATCCCAGCACTCGGGAGGCAGAGGCAGGCGGATCTCTGTGAGTTCGAGACCAGCCTGGTCTAGAAGAGCTAGTTCCAGGACAGGCTCCAAAACCACAGAGAAACCCTGTCTCGAAAAACCAAAAAAAAAAAAAAAAGAAAGAAAGAAAGAAAGAAAGAAAGAAAGAAAAAAGATAAAGTCTCTGCGCTCAGCCAAACATGCAGGTGAATTTATCATTTATAAAAGATCTATCAACTGGTGCAAAGACAGTATTTGACGAAATTCAACAACTAGTTATAAAATAGCAAGTGATGTTCTCAGATGTAAAACTAGAAAGTAAAATCGTGATCCAATGGGCATATTGAAAATAAATCTAACCTGACCTAATAAGGGAAGACTTTGTGGCAAGTTGCAGTCAATGCATGAGATTTAAAAAATAAATAAATAAATAAATAAATAAATAAAGTCACCTGTCTTATAAAAGAAGAAACTGTGTTCCCTCGGTGACATGGTCAGCTCATGGAAAATTTCCAAAGCACCTATGAAAAAGCTCTAAGGACTAGTGACTTTTGCGTGTCAACATATGCAGAACACAAAACACACAGCAATCCATCTTACGTCCGCACACTACCAGCGAATGATTTAAAGTATAACTAATTTTTAAACGTTCACAAGGCACTAAAATGCTTATTTAAAATCTAAAAAAAACAAACTATATGGAAGATTTTCTAATGATAACAGCAGAACATTGCTTAGGAAATAAAGCCAAAAAGCTCTTCAGTGCCCATGGATGGGATTACTGTGAATATGGTATTCATTAACTTATGCCGAGCTGAAGGGTCAAAACAATCTTAACCAGAAGGCTCTTTACAGGAACCCATGAGCTGATTACCAAACATAGAAAATACAAGAACCGTGGGCATTTCTGCAAAGAATAAAACTGGAGGATGGAAAGCATGCGACCCATAACACACAATAATGATGCACATATCCAGCCTGTGCTGTGTGAGGTTAGACATTCGTGGAAACAGAGCAAGCTCATACACATGTGGGCATGCACTTTTGTTTAACTTCCAAAACATAAAAATCAAACAATCTTTTGAACAATTGGACATCCACTGTGGAAAGTAGGGACAGGGAGGAAGAAGGGATTTGGAGCCTGGTGCTGTCTGCAGTAGTGACCCAAACGGGAACATAAACCTGAGTGTCAGCAACAAACTGTAAGAGTTTGAGGAGAGAATGTCCCTGATTTGGGTGACTTCAGTTTGGAATCAGGATGTAAAATGGATGTGTATTTTTGAATGATACGCTGTACTTCATTAAAATTGGACAGCTCTAGCTTTTTTAAAAATACACCATTAAGATGATTAAAAGTTAGCAATGAGAAAAAATATTTCCAAAGACATATCTAACAAAACAGTACATGTATACTTTATTTCAGAATACATATAAAGCTTCAATAAAGCCAAAGAAAGTTAATAAAAACTTGATATTTAAATGGAGAATTTACCAAAAACCAATACAGAAGGGGGAAAGTAAGTAGACAATGTTCCAACATCAGCAGTCATTACAGAAAAACAAAAATCCAATAAACTAATTATTACGAGATTTGCCAAAACTAAAAAATAAAATTTAAAAACCTGGCAATTTCCAGTGTGTACATGATTTGATGCAATGTGACCCAACTTTGAATTCCCCGCTCACTCATAGTCAGATGGTAGCAGCCTCTCAGACACCTTCTGGAAGCTTCCCACAAAGTAAAGCCTTCACTTCTATTTACCCTTAAGAAAGGAAATTATATTCCCTCGCCACTTCAGAATGTGTATCACCATTTTATCCATTTTAAGCAAGTACTGGTAACAAAGCAGATGAACGTGAACTGTAGTGTGGTTCACACTGTGGAATACCGCCCAGCAAGTGCAGGACTAATACACAAGCCTGACGGTTCCATCACACCCATTACCAAACACATTATGAGGACTCACGCTTCTCTTTATTCTTCTTAAATAAAGCATATGTTATTTATTTTGTGTGCATGTATTTGTGTTTGTATTGTTGGGGAGCGGGAGGGGTGCATATGTCACGTGTGGAAGACGGAAGACAATCCCACGGAGTTGTTAGTCCTCTCCTTCCACCTCTATGCAGGTTTCAGGGATAGAACTCTGGTCAAGAGCTTATGCAGCGGTGGAGTGTGTTT